CTTTCCCTTAAAAGGACACTGTGATCACCCAGATAGTCCACGGTAATGTTCCCTTCTCGAGACCCTTAATCACAGCTGCAGAGGACCTTATGCCATACAAGGTAATGTATTCGTACTTTCTGGGAATTAGGATGGTGGCATCCATGTGAAGCCACTGTTCTACCTACCACCTCTCCCTGTGTCCCTCAGAACCTTGAAGGCAAGGCCTGTGTTGACCCTTCTGGTTTCTGCCCCTCCCGCCCCCACATCCGGAGCAGGCGCGGCTTTCAATGACTGGGCGGCTGGTCAGGGGTTAATGGACCGAGTCTGATAAGAAGTTTCTCTTGGCTGATTCTCCCCGCAGGGCCACAGCTGCCTGTCTTCAGAGAGCCCGCCTCCCCTCTCCGTCCTCCGTGGTTTCTACCTCGATGTCTGTATCATCAACTGCCACCTTATATTTGCATTTTTCGATTGCATGAGAAACCTTCCAGTACTTTTGAGAGGAAAGGGAGGGCAGACCCAGTCCCAAGTGGAAGTGTTTCTCCTGCCTCTGTTCCCCTTAATGCCGCTGTGGGCAGAGGTGGACAGCAGTTTTGGGGCAGGTGGGGCAGTCTGGAACTGGCTTATTTTGAGCACAAAAATGTGCTAGAATGTCGCATCGCCCTGCACCTGCACGTTTCCTTTTTAGGCTGAGCCCTTTCATCTTCCTCATGTCCTTCCGTGGCTGGAAAGACAAGATAAGCTCGGTGGCTGTCTAGGAAGTGTGAATTTTAAGATTAGGAAGCAGAAAAAGAACACGTTGCTTGGGTAGCTCGAGACTGTCCGCAGGAATGTACGGGCCCCCACTACTCCGTCTTAAAGGCGGCAGTTTCAAAGCCCAGGAATTCTTTTTCAAAGCAAAACCCAAAGCAGTTCGTAGTCTCTCTTTCTACCTTGTAAGTATTTTTTTCCCCTTAAATGATTTCGCTTAATCACCTTAAAGACAGCGAGCAGAAACCCTGGGGGTGGGGTGGGGCGGGCACTGCTGCTCGCATGGTGGGGGGGGACTAAAACCCTGCAACTGACGAGCGGGTGGCCCGGTGAGCAGAGAGAAGCGGTGTAGATGCTGCAGCGGCCACCGGAGGTCACCCGGGACAGGCGCGCCCTCCTCGTGGGTCCCAGGGCACCCTGAGCCCGGGCCGGCCGCCCCAGCAGCACCTGGCAACTTGTAAGAAGTGTGGGTCCCAGGCAGATGGGCAACCTTGATACTCACCCTGCTGCAGGGCAACGAGGAGTCTGCGGGAGCCGGTCTCGTCTCGGGGTCAACTTCCCGGCTGAGATTCCAGGACAGAGTGTCTCTTTCCACCTTCCCCCACTCTGCGGGTACAAGAAATCCCACCATTAGCGAGGCATTCCTTTAAGTTAAGCCCTACCCCCCGCCTTGAAAGTGGGGGGGGGGGGGCTGAGAAACCCTGGCACCTCCAAGGGCTCTTTCTGGGCCACCAGGGCACCCCTCACGCCCGCAGCCATCCTCACTGCACAGCAGAAGAGGGTCACAGCCCTGCACCGGACACTCTTTACCACTTAACAGAACACAGCCCTCTAAGCAGCATCATTCGGAGGCTGTGGAACGAGATGAAAAAGCATGAGGAAGCTGGATTCGCCACGTCACACAGAAACACCACAAGCGCTTCGCGCATCCCACTTGCAATGTCCGCCAGGGCCAAGGGTCTCCTAGGGTTGCTAACGGAGTGCAAAGTGGCAGAGGGTAACCCCCGACACTGGCCTACACCCTGCGTTGTGCCGAGGATGTGCCCTCCTCAACTATGCACAAAGGCCACAGAAGGACCCAGACCAAGTTCCCACCTCGTTAGATGTGTGGTGGGACTGCGGGAGTCACCCGGGGGTGGCCCCTGGAGCAGGGCCACTTTCTAGCAGGAGAGCGGCTAAAAATAAAATACCTTCGCAGCATGTCAAAGTGCTTTTCCCATTGCCAGGGGCTCTAAGGCCCACATGCCTGCTAACCGTTATTTGCCCCAGGCTCCTCATTTCTCCAGGTGCTGGAGAAATCAAGGTAAGATTCAGTGAAACGTTAGCGAACACCTCGGGTGCGGCGCTGGGGTCGTTGCTCCGTTAGCTGTGGTGTTTCGAGTGGGGGAGCATGAGGCTACAGCACAGAAACAGGAATCCCGAGTACCCCACGGCTCCCTGGACGCTCCCACAAGAGACGCAAGCGACAGGGCACCTAGGAAGATGCCCGGAGAACGCGGAACTGGGCAAACGTGTCGTGAGTCTAAGAAAGAAGAAAATACAGTGTTGGAGTCTTGAAGCCTTTCTCTTTCCTTCTTTTTCTCCCGGGTCGGCCCTGTGCCTCATCACTTCCCAGCACTTCTGGAGCCCCAGCTGGTCTAGAGGGAGTGCATGGTGCTCCTAGGATTCAGCTGGGTCTGGGCGGCTGTCCACAGCTGGGAGAGCTACGTTCTAGTCTGCTTTCCCAGGGCCTCCCTGACTGGTCTTGGTCAGGTCCCCGCTTGTGATGCGGCCCTCTAGACCTCTGCACACTGAGGACTGGATGTGACGTCTCGGGCCTCAGCTGTACCATCCCTGACCCCAGTCCCTGGTGGCCCCAGGCACAAGGTCCCTACCTCTCCTGGGGGTGATACAAGCTACACACAGGCCAGGGGCTGCCGGAGCACTGGCTCTGCAGGGGAGACCCACATGAGCCTTCCTGCCACGGTGTACCAGAGCCTGTCACATGACGAGACGCCCAATCAATATGTCCTGGATGCGTGACTGGCCTCCCCGAGCTGGGCCTCTCACCTGTGTTAGTTCAGGAAGGCAGATGGACTGCCAGGTTAGGTGACACCCTGGCTGGCAGCGTCCCTTTAGAAATTCTTTTGGCAGCTGTTTCTGGCGAGCACTGCTCCCTTCCTACCCTTTACCGTGCCAGTCTGAATCCTGGAAGGGAATGAGACCTAGGATTTTCACAGTTTCTCAGGATTTAACTGGTGTCACAGTCTGTTTCCGCAGTAAAACAGGGTCTTCTTTTCAAGCAATGTTTGCTCAGCCTCTTTAAGGAAACTTAGTTCGCGTTAAGCCTCTCTTGGCAGCTGTTTCTGATGAACATGGCCTTGGGACCTCATTCAAGAAGTCATCCCTGTCCAAAATAGCCCTGAGGAAGGGAACTCTCACTTGGCGCCCATTGCCAAGATGAATGGACTCTCAGTCAGAGGTGACATGCGGTCTGTTTTGATTTCTCCTGTGTTGATCGCTCTCCAATCAAAAAAAATTGTCACAGACCTACAGGGATGCAGATGGGCTGGGCCGAGGCTCAGGTATGGGATTACCTGCCTCCAGTGACTGAGCAAACACCACCAACACTGCTGAGTGCTGTTTCTGTGGACGGAAAACCTAGAGGAAGACGAGCACACTGGATAGTGACCATCTTCCCTTCCCAGTAACCCCAGCACGGGGACATACCTTTAACGCGTTCCCCCACTGGCCCAGAGCCCCTGCCCACTGGTTTGTTTCCCAGCTACAGGAAGAAAACTTTACCTTTTCTTCTTATGGCTCTGGGAGCTCACTCAAGTCATAGGTTTATTTGTTCTCAGGATATTGAGGGCCTTTAAGGCCCTGGATTACATTCCATATGAATTCTTACCTACGATCATGATTCCATAATGAACCAATTTTCAACAAAGACCCTCAACGAATATTTGTTGAATGAGTGAATATAGACTACTATGGATACATGATTCTCTTTTTTATTTAAAATACTTGCCAAATGCTCACTAATTATCATATAATCGTGATGAATAAAGTCCAAAGCCCCTTTAAGGGCCTAATTGGACCACAGCCCCCTCTGCAACCTTGACTCCTACGACGTCTCTTCACCAGCCCTCACCTGGACAGCCTGGCCTGCCCACAAACACACCTGTCACTTTCCACCACCAGTTTTGCAAATGTCCTTCTTCTACTTCTCTCACCCATTTCCCAAGGCTCTCAAGCCTCGAGTTCACAGAGAAGCACTAACTGCCGCAGACAGAGGCAGGTCGCAGGAGGCAGGCCGAGTGCAATAACTGTTTGCACCAATCGTTAGCCATTATTAGGTGTGCTGTGTGTGGAAGATGTTTTTGCCCCATGAAAATATATCCTGTGGAAGAGGCTTCATTTTGCTGTAACTCTGGGCGGGAGGAAATGTCATTTTTGCAATGCTGTAGCCCCTGGGTAATGAGGGCAGAAAGCACGCCTTAGTTTCCTTAGCTCAGAGTCCCTTGACCTCAGCCCTGTTGGCATTTTGGGCGGATGACTGTTGTCCAAGGCTGAGGACACACACTCAGTGGCCTGCCTTGCTGGATCCCTGTGCCTAGCCAGTCATTTCCACCATTACTTTCTTGAAAACATGTTTTCTTCTGGATTTCTGCTACGTAATCATCTTAGACTAGACCGTCCCGTTCCTACAGCATCTTACCTTGTGCCAGCAGAAACTCCCGAACCCACCTGGAGAGCAGACAAGGACGGCTCAGCAGAAAGGCAGTAGAAACTTTTAAGGTACAAATGCAGACCAAAATGGAGAACTCTGAACTGTGAACGTGGCTGACAGTGACCTTTAGATAACGATCTCATGTTAGAAAACTTGAGTATCAGTTCTTGGTGATTGCGGCTGGGGCCATGGCGACTGCTGGCCGCTGGTGACTGCTGGGTAACATTACATGAACCGGCCGGTGGTCTGAGGAGAGTGACAGGGAGTCGTTTGAAGAGAAGCCGGGTCACTGCCCTGGCCTGGCAGCTGCTCTGCACATGGAGGTTTCCAGTGCTCATCAGAGAGACTCGAGCATGGAGGACATCGCCCCACTGGACTGTGGTTGATCAGGACTTGTGGCATTCAAAACTGGAGCCTGACGGAGAAACGGAATCAATCAAAAGAGAGGGCAAGGGCCGGAACTTCTCAAGACGTCGACAATGGCCCAAATGCGAGCTTCTCAGATGGGGGCAGATGTGGCTGAGATGTCCAGCTAGGAGTGTGGGCAGACATCATGGTTTCAAGTGGCCAAAGGAAAAACAACCTTCGAAAGAGAAAGAAACATCTCCTCAGGCTGTTTTGTAATAAAGTTGCTGCAGGCGACGTGTGACTTCTTAACCCATTTTACAGCGCTTTGTTTAGCCCCCTTCCTCTTTCAAAGTACAAAATTCTGAATGACAGGAAAACATGATTCCTTGTTTTTCTTCCCTTTAGGTACTGCCCGAGAATTTGTGACCTTAAGGACGTACAGGAATTCAGACTACCAACTCCGGAATCTCCTCTTGCTTTTATCAACTGCTCCTTCCATCGTTAGTTCTCAGGGACGTGTACCGTGTCTCCCACGGGAATCTATGATCTGACTAAAGGTCCAATGCTCCGTAACAAGAGAAAGGACAAGGGTCTCAAAATCCACCAGAATTCCAATGCTGTAAGAACTTGAACCACTTTCCAGATGCCATTATAATTAGAAAGGGAGCAGAAGTTACAGGGAGCAGGAGCTGGCATTAGAAACGAGCCCGCACCCACAGGGATTTGGAGGTTATTTTTAATGCCCTCACTGCTTATGGAAAGCGAGCGGAATCCACGATTCCCAGCTTACTACATGTTTCCCTGCCTCACCGAACAATAGTAACAACACACAACGACCCTGGGTAAGACCAGACACCAAGATTTTACATATATAAATTATGTAAATTATACAGGTATGTACATCCTTAATGAAGAGAAAAAAAAGTTGTAATTTTCAAGTTCCTGTACTTTCCTGCCTCTTAATTGATAAGAGGTTAAATTTGCCTTCGAGGTCAAACATCTCTTTTTTTCCTGGGAAGCCACTCAATGGGGAAAGGCCCTCTTCTGGGAAGGAGATATTTGAAACCATGTGTCTGTGGCTCCAAGGAGCTAAACTCCTCTGTATAACAACATAGAGGTTGTGATTATTATGGCTGGAGTCACATTTCTGAAGATCATGATTTTTTAGAGTAATTTCCTTTTCCAAATATGGATTTAGAGCTCACCATGCCAATATTTTATTGCTTATTTTTCTAAGCGGGTGCTGAGTTCCCCACAGGCAGTGTTGAGAACAGATCCCCAGACTGCAAGAAACCTATATAGGCCTGACTTTCTCTTCACTTCTCTGCACTGGAGGAGAATCCACCGAGAAAGAAAAGAGAAAGAAGAAGAAGACGGATAAAGCAAGGTAAGGTCCAACAGGAAAGGGAAACCAATCAATTGGGCTGAGGATGGCCCAAGCATTAGACCGTATACTACATTAGCAGACAAGCCTTAGTGAGTTTAAAATGAATGACCAAGTGGAATTAAACTAGAAAGTGAACACAGAAAGATATCTGGAAAAGCTACAAATATTTGGAAATTAAATGACAAGCTTCTAAATAGAAATCTGTAAGTATTTTAAACTGAACAAAGATGAAAACATGTCAAAATGTGAGATACAGCTAAAGCAGTGTTTTGAGGGACATTTATAGCACTACGCACTTAGAAAAGAGAAAGATCTAACATCAGTGATCTAATCTTCTATCATATCAGTTAATCACTGTCCTGTCAGTTTTCTTTCCTTCATATTTCTTAGTCTACTTCTCTCCATCACTACCACAGCCTAAGTAAACCTGCCTCCAACCAGTCTTGCCTTCTTCCAATACCTCCACGTCTAGCCACGTGGCTCATTACTTCCTCCTTGCATTCCAGCCCTACTGATTCCTCTCTTTCCTTAGAGTTATCACGCCTTCCTTGGGGGCTTCTCACAGTTTCCTCTGCCCAGACCACTCTTCTCCCTCTAGCCTACACTGCGCAGTCCCACCCACAGAAATATCCCAGCTTACCCTTCTCTCCTTTCTGTAAGCTCTGCTCCCGCTATAGCTCCCAGTTTCTCCCTGTACTTCCTTTGTGGTAGCCGTTAACATTTTGTCACAACAAGATGTTTAACAGTCCCACCGGATAGGAGGAGCGCAACTGGGTCTTTAAAACTGGTAAGGTCTATCTAGGTCCTAGCACAGTTCCTGGCACATAGTAGGTGCTAAATGAACATTTGACAAATGAATGAAACCCTATTTTAGTGGAAATATGGCCAGTGGGTTAGTGGTTACAGGTCGATGAGGTCAGGAGTTTTGGATTACACCTTGCAGTCAACACTGGTTATTTCCTGGCATTTGCTTGCTCTTCCAACTTAACAACGGCCCGGCATTCTATCTGGGGATCCATGTGGTTCCTGCAAAGCCTATACTTACCCTGGCTCCAGGAGTTACTTAAATACTCACCATCAAGTAAGCTGATCTGCTGTGGCTTCAACTGCTTGAAACTGCAATTTCTCAATTAAATGAGTTCCCAGGATTCCCTATAAGGCTCTAGGGCCTCCATTTCATCATCTTCCTACTAAGAAAGGTCCAGGGTGAAGTACTCTGGCAGTGTTCCTGCTATGTTCTTCTAGCAAGACTATTTAAAAGCATCTGGGTGATCGCCTAGTGCCCTACAAAGCGCATCAGCAATAACTTGGCACACGTCTGAGTGAAACATACCTAACAGGTAAGAATTAAAAAAAAAAGTGGAATTAATCTAAATCTAAATAGTATCACTCCTGTGATAGTTTTGCACATATCAAGCAAAAGGAAATGGCTGTCTGATTGAGATAATGTTCTGCTCCATCTATTTTAAAAAATAACATGTCTTTTTTTCTGATAACACGAATAATTCGTGTTCATTATAAGCAATTTAGAGATTTAAAAAGAGTATATAAAAGGAAGGGAGCACCCCAAACCACACAGCAAGTAACCGTCAGTAAGGCTCTGACGCATTTCCTTTCAGAAGTATTTGAACACATGAAACAGGTGTTTTCTTTTTCAAAATTCAAACGTGCACTTTGTTCTAACCAGCCACTCGGGCCTCCTTGCCTTTTTTTCTGGTACTCCAAGGTCCCTCACCCCGCAGCCTCTGTGTTTGCTGTTCCTTCTCTTTGGAACATTCTGCTCCCAATCTTCACACGACCGCCTCCGCCTCACTTGGCTCAAACGTTCCGTTTCCAATTTAAAGCTGGCTCTCTCTTCACATATCAACTCTACGGTCTGAGAAACCTGCACATGTGCAAAATCACATGCAAATCAAGTCAAAACAAATAAACAAAAATGCCAACTGTAAATGATCCACAGTCCATCTACGGTAGAAAAACTAAATCATGGTATATTCGCACAATGGGGTAGTATCTGGAAAAAAAAAATGAATCAGCTACAACTAGGGGATCAACATAGTTGACCTCAAAACATGTTGTCCGAAAGCAAAAAGTCAAAGGAGAATCCATATGATTTTGTCACTACACAATGTTCGAATCTACTGTATAAGGGTATATGTGTATGTGTGTACGAGAGTGAACTGCGTTTACTCC